TGTCCTGTCTTCCATCTTCTCCAGCTGCTGTGGATTACCTGGCAAAGAACGTCAGCCTTTCCAGTCAGCGCAGGATGAAGCTGGCTGACCACTCAGCTGTACTGGGACTGCTGCAAGTGGAGACCGGCCAGGCCTACTAGCACCCGCCTGACAGATTCAAACAGCACGACACCGGGCCACCAGCACAACCCACACCTCCTCCTCCTGCAGTGCAGATCTTCCAGACAGCCTCTGTGGGTGTGAGTGTGTGTCGCAGATTGACAATATGTTGGGCTGAAATTTAGCTTTTTTAAAACTTTATTTTACGTTTCTGGTTCTTCAGGGTTTAAAGATTGACTAATGTAGCTGTCCAAGCTTGAAACATTCCTCATGGGACCAACCGTTACCACAACCATGATATCAAGTGTTACGAAAAAAAACTGTTTTTTGCACCTTTTTATTGTTTTTTTTCTTTGTTGTTATTTTTGCAATATGCAGCATCAGCTTTACTGGATAATGATAAATGAGTGATATAAACAATTACCACCTAAGCCAATCAGCCTGAGTGTAACCTCCAGCTATCGACAATTCATTTCACAAAACCTGAGATTTATTTTAAACCACCATGTGCTCCTGACTGATTTTAAAATGCAAAGATGTCCACAGTGAAACACTTAAGCAATAGAAAAACAGCTAAATCTCCCCTTTTTTTACATTAAAGTCATCAGGCTAATGACAGAACACACTTTATGGAGACGTTAAATCATTTTTAAAGTGTCATAAATGCATTTTGTCTCGATTCGTGTCACCTGGAGTGAAACTTTGTTTGCATCCATGCTCTCAGTGAATGGACATTCAATGCAGTTTAACAAACATTTCCCTGAGACGAGGTCTGAAAGCAGCTTAAGGAAACACAAGTCACCTCCTGGTATTTCATTGGCGTACTTTCCTGATTGTGTTGTCAGACAACCTATGAGTCATGAACGCTACCTCAGATCCACGTGTTGTATTTCTGACCACGTTCAGACGGGCGGTCGGAATCTTAAACACTGGGTTCCACAAAAACAGTGTTTTAAGCTGCTGTCATTAAGAACGAGCTCAGCTGGACGGGTTGGACGGTGTTGTACCAAGTTTTAAACGACGTTTGAATTGATTTGGGTGCAGCTCAGATTACTGGCAGCTCACATGGGTGTCAGTGTGTAAAGGGAGATCACCACCTCTGCACCAGATCGATCTGGATCGATTCAGCCATTCCTGAAGACCTGACCCTGGTATGCAGCCCGTCTCACCAGCAGTAAGACCTCCTGGAGAGCTTGGCAGTAGCTGGAGATCCGGCTCTTGATTAAGCAGCTGACATTCAGTGTTCAGATGTTCACGCCCCACTTGGTTTGGATCCCAACACTTCTCTGTTCTTCATTTGAATTTATTTTAATTATATCTCATGTGATGTCTCCTTGCAGTTATCTATAAAACAGGTGGTGGTAGATCTGAACTGGGTTCTGTTGGGTCACATATGCAATCACATCAGCACTAACGGTGTTCAGTTAACGAGTGTTACTTCATGTGCTAAATGTGTTTCTTAGGAAAGTACAGCTGTGGATTATGTTTCTCTTATGTTCATATTGAGAATACTGCTGAATGACAACGAAGAATGGTTCAGGATGCTTCTGTAGGGCCTGTGTCTGAAACAATTGGGTTTTAAAAAAGTGAGCTGAGAATTAAATTGGAGTTTATTAGAGTTGGTTGAGCGTATCAGTTCATGAAGATAAAAGCTCAGATAATGGATTTTATGTACCTTCAACTAGAACCAGGCCAGGCTCACTTTGAACAGACTTATGTTAGAGAGACGTACCTTTACAGACCTGTAACTTCCTCTTTGGTATATTATATCAGTTCCTTTACTCCAATAAGCTAATGCAGAAGCTGATCATGTTTACCTCCTGAGTTATCCTTTGTGCATTTCTTTTTTACAGTAAATTTTCTCTTTTTTGGTGCTCATTTACTACATCGATGAAACTTACAGGAAAGAGCTTTATGTCATGTCCCCTGTACATCTACAGATATCTGCAGAAAAGGCTTCATTTGCACTATAGCAAACAATTAAAGTTGTTTTTTTTGTCTTAAAAATAGAAATGTGGTTTTCAAACAATTTCCCATTGAGAAACTATCAGTTAACATCCACACAAATTAGCCTTTTCTTCCATAAACAGTCGTACAGATTTCTGAAAAATGAACCAGTTTCAGACGGGATTCCTTTTTGATTGTGAAGAACAAAAGCTTTGCTAGAGAACTGGACTGTCCTGACCACAAGGTCAGCTCCACACCATTCCACTCCTTCATGCCCTCCACAGGAGCTGCTGCACTGCTCAGGAGAGGAACCCCGGTGCTGGATGGATGCCACCACACTGAGCTTTGTGGAAACCGCTTCACGGGCTGGAGGACAAACTGACGCTCAACAGAATCATTCCATCCATTAATAACCTGCGAACGATCAAAATGCAGCGTTAAAGTTCTTTTACTTTTGTTTTTTTCCTGCTTTCGATGGCATTCCAGAGAGACACAGAATCATTCTATTGTGGATTTTAAGATGACGCCATGAAACAGAACTACGGAGTTTTGATGAGTTTTATTTGCATTCCACTGGATGCTGGTGTCCACGTATTCACATTGCAATCATCACTTTTCTAATGTTGTCCGCCTGCGTCGCCACACAGAGCCATGAGAGCCCTTTGGACATCAGTAACCTTCTTTCTTGTGTAAATATATTTTTTCACTGACAGCAAACCAACCTCAACCAAGAAGAACATGAAGTATTAAATGTACAGATAATGTTTTATTCCCACCCCCTCCTGTTCACCTCTTGGTCCTTTCTCTGCTTGTTTTGTTAAGTTTTGAGTTTGGCATGTGTTTATCTCACCATAGTATAATTTATTCTGCTGTATGAAGTATTAGACTAGTGACAAATTTATATTGGCATTTACTCCCCTCAGCCTCTTGGTGTGTGTAACACTGGCGTAACTGTTTGTTCATTAAAGCTCTACAACTGGACCGAGACCACAGCGCTGTGCTGACTGGGTTTGTTGTTGTTGTTGTTGTTTGAAGGCAGTGGAATGGAAAAGGAAGGTTGAGATTAAAAGCTGAGTTACAAGAAGCACTTATTCTTTTTTTTCCCACAAATACAGTCGATAATCCGACACTAAATGTAAAACCGTCTTTTATGTCGGATTGTCAAGA